AGATGTTTTTAATGCAAATATAAGAGTATTTAAAAACCTCTGTGAAAGCAGTAAGCCTAAGTAGCCCCCCAACCTCCTTCTCTCCTCCTCTCTCTCTGCTGAGAAATTTTCGTATTTATAATAATTTACATAACCTTATGTTGGTGAGAATCAGCATACATAGTTAATATTTTAGACACTGGCAGCCTATAGCACACAGCCAGTGTTTATTGATTTTGATCTTATTACCTCTGAGTGTCCTTCCTCCAGAAGCCGATTTCTCATCTACAGGGAGGAACGAAGCAGACATCAATTCCGGATATTTAACCTTGAAAACAAGATTTTCATCTTTCGTCAGCAGCATTTAATGCCAAAGGGGAGCAGAAGCTCAAAGATACTGTTTTTAAACATCCATTTTTTTTTTTTTGTTTTCAAGTTAACCATTTTCATGTGTAAGAAATATACTTGCAAATTAGACCATACTGTATGTTGTATATATACAAACCAGGAATTATGCAAAGAAAAAAAAAAAAGACCCTTCTGTAAAGATGAACTACTGTTAAATACTAGAGGAAAATCAACTAGAGAACCCTATATTTGGTAATTAATGATATGAGATGCTATTTTAACTCTCTGAATTTTTTAAACTTGTGCGTACATTTGAATTATAACCAGTAGCTGCCTATCAGAGTTAGCAACACATATGAGAAGTAGTCTCGTCTTTTGTGGTTTTAGCTCTGGACTTTGCCACGCTAACAGACATAAAAAGATGTGGTACAAATGGTTTTAACTGGAAAATATCTCCCCAGTGACTGGCAATTGAGGTCTTTCTGTCCAAGCAGAGCCCCATCTTACCTGGGTCTGTAGTAGTCCCATCTACTTATCCAAACGAAAGCTTGTTAGAAGATCAAGTTTTATGTGCATTTTTTTTTTTTATCTTTAAACACTAAAACACTTTAATTTTTACTTGTAATTTAATTTTTTAAGGACTATACTGTGTGTCTCTCTATCTCTTCTTTGAGAATTGATCAGCTTCAGTCAATAAAAAATATTTTTAATAGTAAAGAAAACTCATTTTCTTTGTTTTCTTTTTATTATACAGAAGTAAAATAAGGGCGGTTAGTAGCTTTAAACAGAACCTGGCAAGTTAATTTTCTCAGGAATGGGATTTTTGTTTCTTACACTGCAGATATCAAAGTTGTATTGTGCTGTATAAATGCCCCTTTGTAAATGGTTTCTGTGTTACTTCAGATGGTTTTCGTGACTGTGGTGGACACACCCCATGTAGCCTTTCTATTTAGGGTGCTGAAAAGAGAAATTGGGTGAGGTTTGGTTATGTTCTTATAAAGGCTGGCTTTCTCCTTCAGGCTGGTTTGTAAGAGCAAGACTGAGGAAGGTAGTTAATTCTGAACTGCAGTCAGCCAAGGAGGAAACCTAACATGTCCCTGGAGAGTCCGACTGCCAGCCTGAATCAAAATATTAAATTTTCTCTGTCTCCTTATGATACGTTCGTGGCTACATATCAGCTTGCCTAGTAAAACTAGAACGCTGATTAGGTGCAAAGTAGGAGAATTTCAGAGAACTAAAGGATTTGAAAAGAAGTCAAAACAGTATTTTATGATTAAATATATTTTAGCTCATAGGATTATAGTATCTACACCACCTATAAAAATGGGAAATTTTAATATTACCAGTTTATCTGTCTCAGCCTAAGTTATTTCTGTTTAAAGAGAGGCATTCTCCTAGCATTTTTGAAATAGTTGCAAGGTGAAGCTAGATTTTCAAGTTTATATTTCATCACCAGCATTAAAAGGAGGCAGCTGAATTACACTATCAGAAAAGACCTCAGCCACTGAAAGAAACTCTGTTATAAGGGCATTTTTAGAATTTATGAAGAGACCTTTTAAACAGAAATAGAAATACCCCAAAAGGGAGAAAATCTGAATCAAGTTAGAAACACTAAAAGCAGTTGTACCTACAAAGCCCCGGTAGAAAGCATAGGCTTGAGAGGCCAGTTCTGTATGTTTCAGGCCCGTGGCTGGGGATGGGGACCTTGGGTTTGCAGTGGCCACTTGCTTCTGAAGAGTCAGGGCCTTGACTCAAGATTTCCCCCCTGTGATAGACACCTGGAGCTCTGTGATTATCCTGCAGCAGCCACCTTTGTTTCTCTTCAGCCATTTGATGTCGATTTTGTTGGGGTCATTGCAGGAAGATCCTCATTCCAGGTTTTAACTAGATGGTGCTTAGCAGCCTCTTTCTTGTGACAGAGAACGGACTGAAGATTAGATTAAGAAACCGAACACATTAACCAGGACAGCAGCTGGCAAGGTAGGTGGAAAACCAGGATGGTCTTTGAGAGGCGTTTGTCAAATGAAGAGTGTACATTCATCACTCCTGTAAGGGAGGGTAGCTGGGTTCTCAGCCAGTTGCCTGCTCAGGAGAGCCGGCATAAAAAGAACAAGATAATTTGAGCACTGACTGTACACAGGCCACTGGAGACACAAGAGGGAGCAGAACGAGTGATCCTTGCTTACAGTCTAGGGTGGGAGACAGACCTTAATCAAATAATCACACAAATAGATCATTTAAAGCTGGTAAATGTTATGAGATAAAGGTTTGAGATACCATGAGGGCATAGAGTAGGGACCTAACCCAAGGGTGGAGGGTTCAGGGAAGGCTTCCTGGAGGAAGTAACATCTGAACTCATAGCTGAAAGATGAGTAGATGCTAACGAGGCAAACAGGAGGAGCAAGAGCATTCCAGACAAAGTTCCAGCATATGCAAAGGCCCTGAGGTGGAAAGGAGCATGGCATATTTGTGGACTTGATAGGCCAGGTTGGCTCAAGATGAAGCTGGGGAGAGGCCGGGGCCAGACCATGCACACATGTCAATGAGGCAGTGGGTACTGTATTACAAATTATGTAATAAGCCTGTGATGTAAACCCTACTGTTTGTCGTCTTCGATTTTCCTTAAAATGAGGTCTAATTCATATCCCAAATGTTGGGCCTTTCTAAAACTGTAGAAGTATTAAAACAGTCTAATGGTAAACCCTCACGGCACCCCAAAATGGCACCCTGGTTGTGATGACATGGGGACTCTCAGGCAGCCAGTCACAGAGCCAGCACTAGAACCAGGTATCCCTCCCGGAAGTGTCCTGAGAGATGAAGAGTGAGGATGCCTACATCCCTGAGTACACCAGGCATGCTTCTTCATGAAGCTAAGCTCTGTGTCTAACTGTACCAAACTGTAGGAGTTATTTACTCACTTTTCCATCTCTTCAGTCAGCCCTTCATTTTACATGCATTTTGCTGAACATTGCTATACGCCCGGCACCCTGCTAGGTACTGAGGATTTAAAAACGAGTAACACAAGGGGGTCCTTGCTTTCTGGTAGCTCAAAATCTTACCTACAAGTGATACTTTATAGTTAGAGATGTATTAGCAAAACATTCAGGGACTCTAAAGAGCAAGCCTATGGCAGTACAGTCACCAAAGTTATTGTCCACAACATATAGTACAGGCGAAGGCTGTTGAGAGTACAGACTTTGAAATCAGGCAGGTCTGCATCTGGATCCTGAAGGCACCACCCACCAGCTGTGTGAACTTGGGTGCCCTCAACCTCTCTGAGCCCATTTCCTTGTCTGTAGCAATACCACCACCAACTTTAAGTAAGATTAAATGGGATCTACTGCTTACCAAGTGCTGGGCATGGTGCCTGGCACATAGGAATCTGCTCTGTTATTAATAAAAAGAGAAGTCGTTGGTTGCCAGTGTTGTCCCTGTGGCAGATGTTTTAGTCACAGAGGGATTGTTGCATGGTTTAAAAGAAGATGCTGGCTAAGTGTGAAATGCACTCGAGAACTGCTTTTGTTGGATGTGGAAAAAGGAGCCTGAGAAACAGCTGGTATGGAGCAAACAAACCCCTTTACTGTGGCCTAGCTATTGACTAGGTTGCTGAGGATTACCAATGAGATGACACATCAAAGGGCTCAGCCCAGTGACTGGCAAATAATAAGACTCAATAAATATTAGCTATTGTTATTTTTCTATTGTTATTCCGCTAAAGCAGCTTTTCAGGAATTGGGATTAGATAAAGCATGGTTAGTGGTTTTTTAAGGGAGGTTGTTATTACCTCTATCAGGGAATTTCACACCTATATTCTGATAGGAAGGCTTAGGCCAGCAGAAACAAAATACCAGCCATCTGGGAGCATACACTGGGAAGAATTTGGCCTTGTAAAAAATCAATCTTGCAACCAACGACTTTAAAAGCAAGCCAATAACTAATTTTTAAAAAGTCTCATGCCATCTCCTGTGGCATCTTTTTGGCGTTCTTGGTCCGGTTCTGTCTGCCTAATACCATCATCCCCAAGCAGACTGTCCCTCTGCCCTGGCCAGGTGGCTGCATGCGGAGCTCTGTCTCTGAGAATTCACTCCCCAGCCCCGCGCTGGGAGCAGCTGCAGTCGCGTTAGAGATGCACAAAAAGGAAACTGCTTAATTGTAGGAATTCTGACACACAATACAAGACCAAAAGGGGGAGAGCTTGTTGTGCTTCCATTGGCCAGACTCACGGAGGCCATATTTTCTCAACCAGACTCAGTGAGCTCGGGGTGGAGGGGAGAACTGCCCCCGCCCAGGCCCGTGAGGCAGAAGGAGGGAGGGGATCTTTCTACTCGGCCCGGTTGCGGGAGGCGGGAAACGTGCGGGGTGGAGGGGCTGTGAGGCGGGCTGTGAGAGCTGGAGGAGCTGTGAGGGGTGCAAGGGGCTTGCCGGTTGGAGGGGCTGTGAGGGGGACTGTGAGGGGTGGAGGGGCTGTGAGGGGTAAAGGGGCGTGCGGGGTGGAGGAGGGCTGTGAGAGGGGCTGTGAGGGCAGCTGTGAGGCGTGGAGGGGCTGTGCAGGTAGGAGGGCTGGGGCCGTCGGCCCCACCTGGCGGGGAGGGGCGGGGCCGGAGGTGTGTGTGCGCGGTGGGAGGTGTGTACAGAGGGGCGGAACGCCGGTGGCCCCTCCCCCAGATGGGCGGGCGGCCGCGGGGGGCGCTGTGCCGCTGCGGCTGCGGCCTGGGTGCCTAGGCTCGGGCAGCCGCGCCGTGACGCTCAGTCGCGCGGCTCCGGGCGGGAGTGGAGACAACGCGGCGGCGGCAGGATGAACAGCATCAAGAACGTGCCGGCGCGGGTGCTGAGCCGCAGGCCAGGCCACAGCCTGGAGGCGGAGCGCGAGCAGTTCGACAAGACGCAGGCGAGCGGCCCCCTCCCCTCACCCTGCCCTCTCCTCACCCGGTTCCTCAGGCCCGGGCGGCCGCCGAGCTCTGGGCGGGGCGGGGGGCGGCTCTGGCCGGGGCCGGCCTGCGACCTCCTCCGGGCGCCGGGGCCCGACGGCCACCCTCCACCCCTGCCGACCTCCCGGCCCCGCGCGCTGGGGAACCGGAAGCCGCGCGCCGCGCTCCGCTGGGCGCCGGGGCCCAGGTGGGTCGGGCCCCAGGTGCGGAGCGGACGGATCTCTCCGGAGCGGCCGCGCCCCTCCCCGGACCCTGCGGGCGGGCCCCTGCCACGTTCTCCCCGTCCCTGAGAAATAAGGTGCCCACCTCGGGGAAGCGGTGTGTTTCCTTAAAGGAAGCTCCCTGTTTCCTTTTCCCTGGCGCCGTGTCCCATTATCCGCCAGCTGACAAGTTTCTCGTAAGCGGCCAGACTCGTTCGTCCGAGCGCTGGCCCACAAGTAGACAGGCTCCCACCCCCTTATTAAACCTGACCGACAGAAACTTCCTGGGGCCCCCTCCTTCCCCTTCCCACGCTGCCTCCGTTTCCCCCAAATGATAGCCCGTCCCGGGGAGGTGATTTTAAACGTGAAGTAATTAGGTACGTGTGTGCGGCTGTGCCGAGGACGCGCGGTGAGGGCGGGGCGGCGCTTCGGGTTTTCTGTTCCTTTTTATTTTACAAACTCGGATGTGCTCTTATACCTTGGGAGGAGGACAGATTTGTTTCTATGCCAAAATAATTCAGCCAAGACTGAAATGGCAGAAAAATTCTACCCCCGTGGCTAAAGGAAGCCAAGGGACACCCCCCACCCACCGGCCGTATGGTGACATTTTTCCCACTTCTCTGTGCACAAAGCTCCAACTTCTGCGGTTGCTTTCAAATCAAGTTCGCCCATGCAGTCTTCAATAGCTTTAGTTTCAAAATTAAAAAAAAAACACAGGGAGACCATCTACCCCTTGCGCTTGTGATTGGCAGTGACAAGCGATAAAATCTGGAGACACCCAGGGTTTATGAAAGCTGACAAGTGCTGGAATCAACCTGGCCCCAAATAACTAATTTCTCTTTGTGATCATCATTGTAGTCATCTGGTCTCCAAAGGTGGCATTTAATGTAAGGTGATGAAAATAGTTAATAATGTGGTAACATTAACATAATTGGTATTGTAATAGGAACTTGTGGAAGGCGGTGAGGAAAACTTAATTGGCACAGAGGGGCTGGGTGTTGTCAGAAGCTTTATTTGTTCATTGGTTTTTAGATTTCCTTGCTTTTGAGGCGGTATAAAGAGGCCTGATTGCTACATAAAGGAGATGCAATTTAAAGGGTCAGGTTCATTGCTCTTGCTCTCAAATTACGGTAAATCAAGGGCAACCTTTGTGAATGTCAAAGAGAAAGAATCTCTGAACAAGGACCCTATCGGGTGATTGGTAAACAGGAAGGTGGCTTTCTTGTTTTGTCTTTGCTGGTTGGATTTCTCTCAGAGGCTGAGAAGGTTACTTACAATGAAGAACTTTCTAATGGGTGAGTCTCATAGGATTTACCCATCCCAGGACTCTTTTTTTCTGGAAAGATGGAGTTTGGTGTCAGGGCCTGGGTTTACTTGTCTTCATAGTGACTTGTTGTTGTGAGGTGCTGTCGAGTTGGTTCTGACTCATAGCGACCCCATGCACAACAGAATGAAACCCTCCCGGTCCTGTGCCATCTTCACATTGTTACTGTGCTCGACTTATTGAGGGATATAAGAATGAGTTTTTGTGCATGGTTCATATTTAACAATTAGATTTTTAACAGGTTAATATTTAATATGAGAAATACCTAGTGAGCTGCTGTCCAGGTCCCACGACTGGAAAGGACCAGGAGAGTTGAGATTGCTGCTTACAAGCTGGAAACTGCGCAGCCAGGCCACAGGCCTGCCTGCCCGGGTGACTGCCTCTTCTCAACACTGACACAGTGCTGTGTGTTGTGGGGGAGCACCACGGTTTCCAGCACTGAAGTCCCCATAGCCTGCCTTTCCTCTCCTGGGCCCCTGGGTTCAGAGGAAGAGAAGTGCTTTCATGTTAGCTTTCTTGATGGGACACACCCTGTTTTGGAAAGGTCTCTGAGGTTAGCACTCAGATAGACGTGTTAAGGCAGGGCAGTCAGGCTTCTTTTTGGAACCTGGTACTTGTGATTATTTCATGGTGGGAGGGAGTCTGTATGTAAAAGAGTGAGTGTGTGTGTGTGTGTGTGTGTGTGAGAGAGAGAGAGGATATAATACTTGGGGAGGTATCCAGAAAGCTGATCTATTTGTTTCTTCCCCATGACTTTAATCCCTGTGGTGATAATCCCTTTTAAAAGTGGAGGACAAAGTTTTTTTTTTTGTTTTTTTTTTCCTTCTTTTTCTGTATGCGGAATGTGAAAATTGCTGTATCACTTAAAAGATAACACGATACCATGGAAAGCCCTTTGCAGACAAGTAGACCTTTGTTTCACCTACATGTCGCTGGGCAAGTTGCTTAACCCCTAAATCTGTTTCCTCATCTCTGTGAAAATAGGGATAATTCCATTTACCTTACAGGGATGTTTTAAAGTATAACAGAGATGCTGTGTGGTTAACTGAATAATAGCCCCCCCAGAGGTGTCCTGGTCCTAATCCCCGGAACCTGTGAATGTATTACATGACCTGGTAAGGAGAATTAAGGTGGTAGGTGGAGGAGCCCTGGCGGAGCAGTGGTTAAGTACTCAGCTGCTAACCGAAAAGTTGGCGGTTTGATCCCACCAGTTGCTCTGCTGGGAGAAAGATGTAGCAGTCTACTTCCCTAAAGATCACAGCCTTGGAAGCCCTATGGGGCAGTTCTGCTCTATCCTGTAGGGTCGCTATGAGTTGGAATCAACTGGACAGCAATGGGTTTGGTTTAGTTTGGTATGGAGAATTAAGGTTGTAGGTGGAATTAAGGTGGCTAATCAGCTGAATTTAAGATAGGGAAATTATCCTGGATTATAGTGGTGGGCCCAGTGTAATCACAGGAGTCTTTAAACGTCAGGATAATGTGATGCAAGAAAGACTTGACCAGCCATTACTGGCTTTGAAGGTGGAGGAAGGAGCCAAGAACCAAGGAATGTGGGCAGCCGCTAGAAGCTTGAGAAGGCAAGGAAGTGGATTCTGCCCTAGAGCCTCCAGAAAGGAACACAGCGCTGACTTCTTCATTTTAGCCCAGTGAGACCCATTTCAGACTTTGGACCTCCAGAACTGTTAGATGATAAATATGTGCCATTTTAAGCCACTAAGTTTGTGGTGATTGGTTACAGCAGTCATAGAAGGCTAATCTATGTAAAGCACGTAGCACAGTACCTGGTACATAGTAGGTGCTCAGCCAGTAGTCAGCCTTCTTTCTCCCTCCCCTTCCCGCTGAAGTAGTTCTAAAATTGGAGAAATAGTCCAGACCTTCCACTGGAGAGGAGACCCATTTTGAAGCACATCGTAGATGAAGACTTAGCAGATAGGAGTCTTGGAAATTCCAAACGTGAGTCCTGCTTTTTCCTTATCTTTGCCTTTGTTTCTCTGGGCCTGTTTCCCCTGCAGGACATGGAGTTGGTGTTGTTAGGTGCCGTTAAGTCGATTTCCGACTCACAGTGACCCCATGTGACAGAGTAGAATTGCCCCATAGGGTTTTCTAAGATGTAATCTTTACAGAAGCAGATAGCCAGGTCTTTTCTCCTGTGTAGCCACTGGGTGGGTTTGAACCACCAGCCTTTTGGCTAGCGGCTGAGCGTTTAACCATTGCGCCACCAGAGTCCAAAAGCTTCCTCTCAGATCAGGACCAGGGAGAGCCTTTATGTTACAGTGAGAGGCCATCAGCAGTGGGGCGTGTGCTCAGCAGGCCAAATCCAGTGGGTGGGCATCAACCAGAGCGCAGATGTAAACCCCCCAGGCCCAGGGGCTTTCCAGGGGAGGAACTGCTGAGTGCAGCTGCTTTCCAAACAAGACATTTCATAGGTCCAACCTCCCAGGCCAATAACACAGTACCCACAGCCTCTGGGGAACCAAAACATGGTAAAGATTAACATTTATTGATGCTCAGGGAGTGCTCAGACCCTGGTTGCCACTAGGACAGTGCCATCCAGTAGAAATAGAATGAGAGGCACATGTGTCATTTTAAATTTTCTAGTAGCCTCTTTAAAAAGTAGACAACCAGGTGAAACTTATTTTAATAATAGATGTTATTTAACCCAATGTGCCCAAAATATAAGCAGCCCTGGTGGCATAATGGTTAAGTGCTTGCTGTTAACCAAAAGGTCAGCAGTTCGAACCTACAAGCCATTCTTAGGGAGAAAAGACTTGGCTATCTGCTCCCATAAAGATAAGAGACTTGGAAACCCTATAGGCAGTTCTACTGTGTCATGTCGGGTCACTATGAGTCAGAATTGACTCAGTGACTGTTTAACAGAGTTTTTTTTTTTTCCTTTTGGTTTTAGTTTTTAAGGGCTAATGCTTGTAGGCTATTTGATTATCCTCTTTGGTGAACTAGGGGCCCTGGTGGCACAGTGGTTAAGTGCTGGGCTGTGAACCAAAAGGTTGGTGGTTCGAACCCACCAGCTGCTCCTCGGGAGAAAAATGTGGCAGTCCGCTTCCATAAAGATTATAACCTTGGAAACCCTGTGGGGCAGTTCTGCTCTGTCCTATAGGGTCTCTATGAGTTGGAATCAGCTCGACAGCAGTGGGTTTGGGTTTTGGTGTTGTTTGGTGAACTGTCTGTTCAAGTTCTATGCCCATTTTTTGACTGGATTGTTTGTGTTTTTTTGTTAAGGTGTAGAAGTATTTTACATAATTTCCATATTAGACCTTTCCTGGATGTGTTGTTCCCCTGGTATTTTTTCAGAAGTTCCCCAGCTAGGTGATTCTTTAGACCCTCGTTTAGCCCACAGGACACAAACAGGTGTTTGGGAGTGTAACCTAAGTTTCAGGTGAGATGAGGTTTGAGAGCTGTTCCTGACTGTGCGGTATCG